ACGTTTTTGTTGTTTTCAAATTTCCAGTATTCTAATTCTGCAGGGAATACTTTTGTACATAAGTCTTTGCTCATATCCAGTTTATTTCTGAGTCATTCAATAATTGGAATTAATGATTCAGAGCTTGAAGAATCTGAAGGTTGAAATACAAATTGCCACACTGTATTCCAGAAAGGCTGCCTGACTTCACTGGAATGCAGTGTCTAGGGATTGGGATGTATTGCCCTGTCTTCCTTGAATTTGGATTACTTTAGTATTAGGACTGAGACTTCCTCATGCTGGAATAAGGCCAGAGTAACAAAGTCCACCTTTCAGGAGAGATGCCAGGAATTAATTAAGGTAATTACTTCTCAGCTGAGATGACAGGGTTTGAGGGTGGTTCCTTAGTTTTTTCCAAGTGTCCCTCTTCTTTACAGAAAGAGAGATTCTATGAAAGCCGGTGCAGGCCAGTGACACCATCATGCAAGGAGCTGGCTGACCTTATGACCCGCTGCATGAACTATGACCCCAATCAGAGACCCTTCTTCCGAGCCATTATGAGGGACATTAACAAGCTCGAAGAGCAAAGTAAGATGTTGTCCAATGCTTAACTGGGATCATTCACAACCCTGGAGAGCAATTGGGGGAAGTGGGGAGATGAGTGGGAGCCCAGAAGCGGCAATCCCTAACCATCAGTTACCTTTTTTTAAAATTGGTTTTCTTTTCTATTAGATCCAGACATTGTTTCAGAAAAAAAACCAGCAACTGAGGTGGATCCCACACATTTTGAAAAGCGCTTCCTGAAGAGGATCCGTGACTTGGGAGAGGTAAGTTGCACCTGGTGCTTGCTGCTGATCTGGCTGCTGCTCTGGCTGCAGCTCTGGCTGCATCTTCTGCTTGCACATCACCTCTCTGCATAAAGTCACCTCCTGTTCTCCCTTACTTTATAAGAGAAAGAACGTTTCTGCATTTTGGAGGCCACTTTTAGCACGCCCCATTTGACCCACACGCCTGCCAGGATGCACATTTCTGCCTGCATGTGTGACTATGCATATACACAGGATGCTGGTCTGCTCCCAGGAGAGACGAGTTTTCTCTGTGGAGCAGAGGGGATTAGATGCAGATATGGAGGAAATAGAAAAATCTCTGTCACTGACTTTGGGGAATAAGTTCCCTGCGAAGCTCTTTAACCTGTTAAGTCCAAATTTTCAATTCTGTGAGCATAATAATTATTTCAAAGTTACCAAAAGTGGTATATTTGTTGCTTAAGTTTTTATAGGTGTTCCACATCTGGGACAATGAGACAAAATGGGTTAAATGAGGGATTGATGTACTACACAGAGTGCCAAAATAGACTCTCAAACTTTCCTTTGGACCTTGAACGGGAGTTTCCAACAGTTAATATGACAAGGGAGGCTCCTGTGATCTATGTCTTTACACAGATCTTCTATTGTTAATTGAATGAAGAGTGCCACATCTTGAGTAGCCACTGTGTGCCATCATCTGTGCTGGGCAGTTTCACAAGCACAGTCCTCACAGCATCCCCCAGAATACTTGTGACTATTGTATACAGAAAGCACAGTAGGACTCAGGATGATTGTGTGGCAGGGCCAGCCAATGTCACCATTAGGTGGCTTGGCTGGGGTCTGATGCCATAGCTTTTGAAGATTCCTTGTGCACAGCTGCACTGTGGTGCCTGCCTGAAGAATGGGCTCTGGGTTCTCAGAGGACTCCACAGTTTTCTACAGGTCCAGATATGTCCTTCATCATTTTTTGGGTTACTTTTTCTTGGAAATTGGGATTGATGTGTGGGTTCATTAGTCACCTGTTACTTTGTCTTATCTCACTTACAGAGGAAGTGAGGCCAGGAGAGGAAGGGGGTTGTGGTAGGTGGTGGAATCTAGGTGAGAGCCTTCTATCAGCAGAGGTCTGACCAGCTATTGACCCCTGGCCTTCAGGGGAACAGCTATGAGGAGTAAGACTTATTTTCTAAGTGTGTTCCAGTACAGCCTGGGGCTTCTTATAATAGTATGTACATTTTTTTCTCTAGGGCCACTTTGGGAAGGTTGAGCTCTGCAGGTATGACCCAGAGGGGGACAACACAGGGGAGCAGGTAGCTGTCAAATCCCTGAAGCCTGAGAGTGGAGGTAACCACATTGCTGATCTGAAGAAGGAAATAGAAATCTTAAGGAATCTCTATCATGAGAACATTGTGAAGTACAAAGGAATCTGCACTGAAGATGGTATGTTGCACACAGTGGGGTCTGATTTAAAGACTAAGTGACTGTTATGGTCATAAGGCCAGTGCAAAGCAGGCGGGCCTCGGCCTCATCTAGGTCATCTGAACATACTGGCTGTGGCTTCCATAGGCTGGCAGGGCTTCCAGGTTGCATGTTGCCAAATCCCGTAGCAGCTTTTGGGGAAGTACACCGACTCCCTCCCAGCCAAGGCATGGTTCCAGCCTCGTCTCTCCAAGGGTTCACACACTCATGCTGTGTACTAGACTGTACCCACCCAGATATCTACACTGATGCCATATGGTGTGAATGACCTTCCTCACTCCCTTTCCCCATTCTTCTGATCCAGTCCCAGGCAGGGCATCTTGTTCTATGCTTGTCTAAGTCAAGATGACAAATGGTATTCAATGGTAGTAGTGTTTACTAATACTTGTATCTTATTTGTCAGCCAGTATTCCACTGAGGTATATCCTTTAAAGCTACTAGTGAAAGAACTTGGCTCATAAAATTATTATTTGCCTAGTGGATTACAGAGTACTCAGGCTGTTATCCTAGCGATGCTTGTGGCTGAGGTAGGAACCCTAAGTGTTAAGATCTTTTCTCTGTTGAGGGTCCTGCAATGCAGAGGTTAGGAGTTGGTATGTGCTCAGGGAATAAAGAAGGAGCCATGGCAAGTCCTCTGACTCCATGTCCTGTGTTCTTTCCTCTTTGGCAGCCTTATACTGATGTTTTTTTCTCCCAACAGGAGGAAATGGTATCAAGCTCATCATGGAGTTTCTGCCTTCTGGAAGCCTTAAGGAATATCTTCCAAAGAATAAGAACAAAATTAACCTTAAACAGCAGCTAAAATATGCTGTTCAGATTTGTAAGGTAAAAAAAGAAAGCATGTTTAAAAAAAAAAAACAGGCATTCTTCCCTAGTAAATTTTTTTGTAATTTAATTTTAAGACAAGTGGGAAACTTTGTAATAATTATACTGAGTTATTTTGCTCTGTATTATTGGGATGAGAAATGAGCTTTTACTCTGAAAGTGAACACATGTATTAAGTGTGACTGCTTGAATGTGAATTTCTTTGAGTCAGTTGATCTTACTATTTTTGCTTAAAAATACAAATCAAAAAATTGTTATGTGAATGAAATGACATTTCTTTTTCTTATGAAGTTATACAAAATCCATCTGAATGATTTTAACAATGTGTTTTATCTTTATTTCTCTACTAGGGAATGGACTATTTGGGTTCTCGGCAATATGTTCACCGGGACTTAGCAGCAAGAAATGTCCTTGTTGAGAGTGAACACCAAGTGAAAATTGGAGACTTTGGTTTAACCAAAGCAATTGAAACTGATAAGGAGTACTACACCGTCAAGGATGACCGGGACAGCCCTGTGTTTTGGTAACTGAGTCAGACAATTAGAGTGCAGTAGTGATGCAGGGTTTACACCATTTTGATAAGTTCTTTCTGGCTATGCTAATGCCTCATTCCTCTGGCCTGAATCAAGAGAGGATTAGAACAGTTAGAGTTGATTTATATTTACCTTCAAGAAACACCAATCAGGCTGAAAAGCAGCCTGTGCAAATGCCTGAGCTTGGATGGCACCATCTTCCAAGGAATGGGAGCCGTCTCATTACCAGCTCAGCATTTCCGGCTCCCATCTGCACAGTTCTCACAACTATGAGCAGGTGGAGGGATGCCTGGAGGGCAGGTGGGAAGAAGGGACAAGATGTGACAAGGTGGGCATCGAGTAGTCAGGGAAATCTTGGACAGAGCAAGTGATGGGAGGGACGCTTGACCATCTCTCATGAGGCACCAGTCATCCTGGTTAGAAGGCCACATACTGACCACAGCCCCCCTCAGTTGCTTTGATCTCTACACCATCCCCTGTAAGACTGATCAACACTCAAGTATGCTGCACAGATACAGGCAGACCTCTCATACCTGCAAAACCTGAACCTTTGTTCACTGATACAAAACAGTATGTCTCAGGGCCCACCCTTCATGCCAGAGATTTGGTGACCAAGCAGATAGGTACAGAGTGAGGCAGCCAACGTGAAGGAACAGTTAGCACAGAGGGGTTCCAGCTTGGTTTTCTGGAAGTCTTGAGTGTTTAGATGAAGGGGGCATGTGTGACTAACAGGAATGAGAGAGTACCTGAGATAAACCCAGCATGGGTAAACATGAAGGGGCAGGAGGTTTTCAGAGGGTGGCTAAGTCAGAGCTCGGGAAAGGGAGTTCTGCAGCAAACACTCCATTCCTAGAGCAGTGGGATACCATTGTAGGATTGAAGATACAAATTATTTTTTAAGAAGATAACCATGGAGGAAAGCAAGATTGGAGCCAGGGAGTCTGATTTAGCCTTAGTGAACTAGGACAGTGATCAAGATAGTGAGAATTAAGTAGATTTGAAGAGTGTTTAGGAAATTAGACAGAATGCCTTAATATCTGGCTTGGGCAATTGGGTGTCATTCACCAAAACAGATAACATTGGAAGAGGATAGGCTGGTGAGGTCCCTGCTGATCTAGGAGCCTATAGGAATCAAACCTGGGGCTTGTTTTCTTGTGACCTCCTCCTCTACAGGAAGTACGTGGGTTGGACACAAAGAGTGCAAACTGGTCTTATTGGGGGCAAATACATGCTACTAAGAACCTGTAAAGTATAGTAGCACATATGTACATAATACATACTAGATGCCTGTAAGGATCGAAGAGATGACTTTTATGAGCTAATCTGTAATTTTTGTTGAAGTAGCTCTGCCATGAATTGAAGGCTCACATTCTTTATTTCAGGTACGCTCCAGAATGTTTAATTCAGTGTAAATTTTATATTGCCTCTGATGTCTGGTCTTTTGGAGTGACTCTGCATGAGCTGCTTACTTACTGTGATTCAGAGTCTAGTCCAATGGCTGTAAGTCTTAACTTTTCTCTTCATCTGAATACAGAACCCAACTAAAATATGTCCATGCCTGTGCTTTGTAAGTTTTGCTTTTAAATGGAGTCAAGTCAGTATACTATATTGGAAAGATAAAAGTCCACTTTTCTATTTTACTTGGTTTGTTACTTATCTGTGAGTCTCTCAAGTTTGGGTTTCATAAGGAACTCAAAGTTATACTGGATGATCCGACTTTCCAGGGTCTGTCTTATCTGTGAGAGTTTGTGCCTTGTTAATTTCTGAATGAGATCATCTTCATGAAACAGCCTCCTTGGCTAGCAGAATCTAAGACACTGATTCCAGATTAACTGTTGAGAGCTAGTAAGGATTTTGGATTTTTATTTAACATTGCTTAAGAAGAAAAACATTTTTATTGTTACTTTAATTTCCAGTTAATTCTAGAAGTTGTACTTTAATCTGCTTAATTTTTATACGAGTGTATGCAAAGTAAACATTTTGTTTGGTTTTATTTTACATAGTTGTTCCTGAAAATGATAGGCCCAACTCAAGGCCAGATGACGGTGACAAGACTTGTGAATACACTGAAAGAAGGAAAACGTTTACCATGCCCGCCTAACTGTCCTGATAAGGTATTTATCTTTCCATAGCTCAAGATATCCAGCAAGGAAGTGGGGTGGGCAGTGAGTGAGGAGATGGAGTAGAAACCACCTGTAAAATAGTTTTCTGAGTCTGAGACATCTAAGGAATCATCTTTGGTGTGGATGATAGTAATGTTCAATGCAAGTACTCTCTCCAGAAAGAGGCTCCTTTCCATGCTTGTCCACACACACCCCCCCAAGGAAGTTTTGGTGTAGCCTTATTATGAAAAATATATATAATTGTACTTTTGTGTGTAATTTTATCCCACTTAATAACAGCATTTATAATGTTTATTCTTTTTTAATACTCTAAAATTAATTGAGGCTTTCAGTCTCAACTCCTTACCACTTAGATACACTGGATAGAATACGTCCAAGAGTGAGGTGGCCAGTGGCAAGACGGAGTCTAAACATAAGGGTTGGTAGTGACATGGACTCTGCTGAAGGGCAGTCAGCCATGAGCTTCTCAAATGTTAGTACCATTTATGAACTGCAGTTATGAAGATTTCCTATATTTTAAATAATTGAAATTTTTTTACTCTTAAGAAAATAATTACCTTATAGTTCCAAAATTATTTCCTTACACTTGATATTTCTATAATTTTTTTGAAAAGCTTCCAAACATAACAATATTTTTACTATGACTACAGTTCTTGTTTTTACTTTTTATAGGTTTATCAACTTATGAGAAAATGCTGGGAATTACAACCATCCAATCGGACAACCTTTCAGAGCCTTATTGAAGGATTTGAAGCACTTTTAAAATACGAAGCATGAATATCATCTAAATTCCACTGTTTGTTGATAAAGTAATCCTCCCCCAACAAATATCCAAGCCATTTTTTAAAAAATTTTTTATGGAAAAAGTTTGTGTTCTAACAAAATATAGTCAGCAAGTCCTTGAGCACGTGCACATGTGTACAGCACACTGTGGTGCTCAGCATGGATAAAAACTTCTTTTCAATTCAGCCTCTCTCAAACTTAGTGACAAATGACAACAAAGATACCTAGAAAGCACTTAAGCACTCCTCCCTTTGGAAAGAATGTCCCACTCACTGTTTCATCTAGCTAATTTACTGTCATAATTACATACCAAAATGGGATTTGTGAAAATAAGAGGAACTGACCAAAGTGATGTCTCAAGATGATTGCTGTTCCCAGCTGCCAGCTGATCTGAAATGTTTTTCTGGCACATTAATCTTAGACAAAAATTGATGGACTTAGGTGATACTCTTAACATACCCTCAGATTTCAATATCTAGACAGTGATAGACCAAGCAGTCTTAAAATAGTAGATACCAGTTAGTATACTATCATTTCCTTACCAAAAAAAAAAAAAAGAGTAGGTATTCCTGTCATCAGTAAGACTGAAATATCAAGCTGTTTTTTCAGTGACTCAGTTGCTGGTCCCTTGATTGACTACTGGGTACCCATTGTTGAGCAACCTGGTTCTGCACAGGAGCCAGCGTGGAAATAGATACTCTGCTGCATGTTATTATTTCTTGAGAACTAAGCCTGGGCCAGTGCTTTCCTAAGCAGTCAACTTTTATCAGACAGACTTTGCAAACCTGGATGCTATTAGACATGCTTTTAAGAAACATCAGCGCATATCCTTTTATAACTCTACCACTTTGGGGCAAGCTGTTCCAGCATTGGTTTTGGATGCTGTATATGAACAGAATGTATACCACATACATTGCACTGTTCTTAAGAGTGTTTCAATACTTACCACCCATCTACAAGGGTCAATCACTATTGTGACCATCATCTTATGGTGCAAAACTTGAAAGAAAAGACCCATCTAAAGGCACTCTGGAGTTCAGGATACATTTAGATGGTTTTCAGTTTGCTTGGAGGTAGCTGGGTAATTAAAAATGTTAGTGTCTGATTTAATGTGAAACATAAAGTTCTTTACGACCAAGAGTCTGAAAAACTTTTCTGTTAGTGATGTCTAGTATTCTTCAGTATCTTACTTTTCATCTTTTGAGCCCAAAGAAAGTTCAGGATAGCTTTAGTGGCAACAATAAACTTGACATTTAAATTTGTTCAGTTGCCCTGTATCTCTGTGTCAAACCTGTGGCCGCTCTGTATGCACTTTGTTTACTCTTTATACAAATAAATGTACTAAAGACTTTACATGCATATGCGTTTTAATATTTTCATTTTTGAAGCATTTCAAACAATTCACTTACATAGAAAAATAACAGTATAGATTCTGAGGGGAGGGTTGGTAATGACTTAGTACTAACACCACTTGAGCTGCACTTCTGTTATGTCTGATGAAAACGGGCCACAGGCCAGTATGGATGGAAAATCTACATGTGCTGTGAGCCAAAACATTTTTTAGTTCTTCCAATCTGTGCCTCTTCTCTCTTTGTTACTCATGTAAAATTCACCATCTTCCCTGTCTTCTGTTCTTAACTTCAATAGAAGTGTGACTAAGCGCTGAAGAGGCAAAATACAACAGGAAAATCAGAAGGAGACGTACAGGACATGGAGATGCCATTAGTCATCTGCCACATAACTGATGTAATCCTGATTGTGATTTATAGGTAGTATATTTCTTAGAAACTGTCTTAGTTTAACTTTCCAGCCATAATTTTCCAGCAGAAGCTAGTGAATGCAATAAATTAGACCAAGTAAAATTCTTTACAAAGCATACAACATATGAACCAGTTCTAGACTTTATAATTAAAGCAAGATATCTATATCTTAGTCAAAAACAAGTTCTTCAAAAGACATATTTTAAGGATATGATCTGAAAGACTAAGATCCTTGAGATCTCAAATTCAATCAGTTATAGTCATAACAATGAACAGACTTAGAAATTTCTAAATGGCAAAAGGTTTCTCATGCATTTAATACCACAGTCTTCAGAAAATGGTGATGTCAAAAGTCACATTAATAAAGACAAAAATTCTTTTCAGAAGTAAAGTTGGTAAAATCGCTCATATTTTTCAGCATAATATACTACCAAAGAATGAGAGACACACCGGAGAGTGAGGTATAGCTTATTAGCTCAAATGGTTATAAATACTATGTCCCCATAAGACTTTCAGAGTGTAGCATTGACTGCTTTACTCTATTGTGGAAATATAGAGCATTTGATGACAAAAATGACCCTGTCTAGTAATTAGATCATCACTAGTCTATGCTATGAAATGAGACACAGAAACCTATGTTCTTGCCACTTATAAGTCTATCTCATAGGTTAAACCTCTTTCTTTAGGCGAAATAAAAGGAATGGGGAATTAGTGCCATTGGGTCAGTGCCAGAAACACTGTGAAGGGCCTGATAGTAAATGTTTTAGGCTTTGCAGGCTATATGGTTTCTGTTGAAGCTACTCAGTTCTACCAAGGTAACAAAAGTAGCTACAGATGATACGTGAATGAGTGAGTATGGCTGTGGTCCAATAAAATTTTGTAGACACTGATAATTGAATTTCATGTAGCAAGTTTTCATCCCCCCGCCTTCAAACACTTAAAAATGTAAAATGTCATTCTTAACCTTGCAGACAGCACAAGGATAGGTGGTGGACTGAATCTGGTCCTAGGGTAGTTTGCTAACCCCTGTGTTAGGTCACCAAAGTTTTTTTTAATCTAAGCTATCTTCTGTTTTTTACAAAAGGTATAAATAGTAACAACACGTTAAAAGTCAAGCATCTGCAGTATTGTATGCCTTGGACTTCATTATCATTCTGTTGTTGGGTTTAATAGTGCATGGCTGGTGTGGGGGTGATAATGAAATTTGCATAAAGAGCGTCTTTATAGCATGGCCATCAGCACGTTTGGTACTTGCACCCTTGTAGTTCTAGGAAAAGTCCTAAAAATCTATAAATGAGATTACTTCTAGGGGAAGTAAATTAAAATGCACATTGGTTTATAAGAAATTCATTCTAAGGCTAAGGAAACAAGATTGTTTCCCATTTATTGCTTCAGACTTTTATATGTGATGTGAAAATTATTCCCATTCCTCAAACAAGGAACGTTGAAACATGATTAGTTTCTCCAATGGACAGTAAGTTAATATCACGTTGATTAAGAAGTATTTAATTCTAGTGGAAAATGTCCTCAATTGATGTCTCTTCTTATTGCTACCATTTTTTATTTGGCAATTCTGCCTGCTGCACAACACAGTTCCTTCTGGGAAATAATGAACCCGTATTTATAGGATATGGCTAGTTTGAATGAAGTTAAGGCAGCGATGAACAGCAGAGATACTGCAGAGAATCTCAGGAGGCTGTAAGGAGAAAACTTAGTATACTCGCTTCTTTTTTAAGTAGGTTTCCATGTAGTATGCTCCTGTGCCCTGAGAATGCTGGTCAACTAATTCTACTGCGCCACCTTCTGGAGCAGAGATGAGATAGGATGAGCCTCGCTTTTCATTTCTTAAAGAGGACACCTATAAGAACGTAAAATCACAATTAATATTAAAATGTAAATTAAATTGGCTTATTAAGGATGTTTCTGAGAAAAACATTCTACTTCAAGTTGGTGCAAATACAGAATAGCAAGATAAATATCAAAGCCATCAAATATATATTTAAAAATATAAACCAGACACCATGTTGCATTCCTGTAATCCCAGCAATTTAGAGGAAGAGGCTAGGAGATCACAAGTTCAAGGTAACCATGGGCAACTTAGTGAGACCCTCTCTCAAAAAAAAAAAATTGGGGCTGGAGGTGGGGTGTGGGGCTTGCTGGTATAGCTTAGTAGCAGGGTACCCCTAGGTTAAATCCTCAGTACCAAACAAACAACAACAAAACACATATACACTTCCTTAAAGTCTTTATATAAAAATCATCTGTGGAGGGCTGGGTTATTGCTTAGTGGTAGAACACTTGTCTAGCATGTGCAAGGCCCTGGGTTCTCTTTTTAGCACCATTAAAAAAAAAAAAAAATCACCTGTGGAACTTTAGCTGAACACAAACCATCCCTCACCCTACCTCCAAGATGTGAGAGCAAGAAAAAAATTAAGAGCATTGTGTCCTTCTTGTTGGTTATACCTAAGCCCCACTGATTTAGAATACCAATACTAAGTATTAATATTCCTTTGAGGAAGGGCACTTGCTAAGGAATGGAGCCACAGATCAGATTAGATGTTAAGTCTGCCTAGTGAGAGAAGGAGGGACAAAGAATACACTTGCAGGTGTGAACGCTGGCAAATGATGTCAAGGAAAATAACATTCTAGAGAGGAACAGGCACTCAAATCAAAACTTTGGTGTCTCAAATAATCAGATTTCCAGGCTCTATCCAGAGATTCTACTCTGGGAATGGGTCAGGACCTGTGATCTGCTCCCGAGGTTCTTCCTTTTACAAATGGTATGATAAGCTTGTTGAAAAGAATAATGCAGGGGCTGGGGCTGGGGCTGAGTGGTAAAGCGCTCGCCTAGCACGTGCAGAGTGCTGCGTTCAATCCTCAGCACCACATAAAAATGAGTAAAATAAAGGTATTATGTCCAATTACAAGTAAAAACATTTAAAAAAAAAAGAAAAGAATAATGTACAAGAACATGGAAAGGAGTGATAAGGCAAGCTTTCAGCTTCACATTATAATTAAAACTCAATTGCTTTTGAACCAACTGCAGTCAACAATTTTTAAAATTGGAGCCAACCTCAGAGGAACGAAGGATAAGTCTGTCACAACTCCCTGTAGACAGTGCAGCCAGTCTTCCATCACACTTGTCAAGACAAGGGGTGACGGGACTAACAATTAGGGTGGCAGGGACTCCCTCTGTTTTGGCACATACTTCATTTCTGTGTGGTTTAATAATGCTATGGGACAACAACAGCCTTCACATAAACCTTGTTTTAAGGAATGGTTCACGAACTGAAGCACTAATTAACAAAGAATTTGGCTTTAACTTTCATCTGAAAGTTTTTCCTGGTAGTAAAGAAGCTCAGAGGTTTGCTCAGAAATCATCTGAGGGAGGGCAGTAGGTGGAGGCATAGATGATATGAGACCGGCCATAAGTTGTCAGTTGTGGAAGCTGAAGTGATGGGGACCAGGGATTCAGCTCTGGTGGCTGCTTGGCTCACCCCTCTGGACTGACTTTGCCTCCCTCTCACTCTCTTCAGCTGCCTTCTCCACGGGCGCCCTCAGTCAGCTGGTGAACTCCCTGCATGCTGGACCCCGGCCACTACACCTGGCATTGCTTGGCTTCCAGTAGCAACAACTCTTACCAGCTTTCTTCTTCTTATACAGTCATGAGTCTGTCCTGAAAGTGAACTTTTCCAAAGCACACCCCCCCCACCGGGTCTAGCGCTCTCCTGCCCGCTTGCTTCCCTTCCCTGGTTCTCCCTGCCAGGTGGTAATCTATGGCTTCATGTCTTGGCATAAAGCAAAGAAACAGCCTGAACTTTCTTTTTGTTGTTTTCATTTTTGTTTTTGTAGTACTTGGGAACTGAACCACTAAGTTACCTTCCTCCTAATCCCTGACCCCCTGCCCCTGCTTTTTTTAAATTCTGAGACAGGATTTTGCTAAATTGTCCAAGCTAGCCTTGAACTTGTGATCCTCATGCCTCAGCCTCTCAAGTAGCTGGGATTACAGTTGTGCAGCCTGAATTTTCCTTTCAAAACCATCATTATTTTCAGGCACCAGATAGGACATTAGATTTCTTTCATTCAAAAGATATCCCAGGGCCGGGGTTGTGGCTCAGGGGTAGAGTGCATGCTTAGCATGCATGAGGCACTGGGTTTGATCCCTGGCACCACATAAAAATAAAACAAAGGTTAAAAAAAATAAAAGAGAAAAAACAACAACAAAAAGACATCCCAATGGCACCAGGCTACTCACAGTGAGAACCAAATGAGATCTAAAAGCAATAAAATACTTCATGGAGCAGCACAGAAAATTTAGGAAGAAAAGGAAGTGAAGATAGATGCCATTGTGGTCATACAATACTAGGAGAAAGATGATTCTAACACAGCCTATTAAAGACATCTAACATAGTATAAGAACCAGTGAATGGGCAATGACAGTAGTTAGGATTTTTAAAATAAAGCTCAGTGATATGGGAGAAATAAAAGCCTAATAACCAAGTTTTTTTTTTTTTTTTTTAAAGAAAGGACAAATAAGCCAGGTACAGCGTCACATGCCCATCATCCCAGCACCTAGAGAGGCTGAGGCAGGAGGATTGCAAGTTTAAAGCCAGACTCACCAACTTAGAAAGGCCCTAAGCAACTTACCATACCCTGTCTCAAAATCAAAAGGAATGGGGATGTACTCAGTGGAAGTGCCTATGGGTTCAATCCCTAGAGAAAGGAAGGAAGGGAGGGAGGGAAGAAAGAAGGAAAGAAAGAAACAACAGCCACAAAAGAGGGAAAGAACATGAACACATACTTTTCCTTCAACAGTTTACACAGATACTTGAAAAAACCTAGAGCTCTCCAGTTCAGATGATGCTGAAGAATTATATCTTTGGAAGCAAATAAAACCCTGAGATATACATAAATATATCCCAGATGCTTTCTGTATGTTAACCCATTTAATGTTCAGAACAGCAGCCCTGGGAGGTAGGATGCTCAGAGAGGAATCCCCACCTCTGCATAGCCTGTGCTGGGATTTGCATATCCAGCCTGAAGTCTCAGTCAAATCTCAGTCTGAAGAATTCCAAAGAACACTTAGTCAAGACCCTACACATGTTTAATCCCTAGGCCTTGCCTCTCAGTGTGTATACTTCCAACAGAACATTCAAATCCAGAGAACTCTAACCTTCAGCAAGATCCTCCTTAGGGTGAGCTGAACTGCCCTATGAAATATGAACTTCTATTCTTCCTCCCACCTCCCCCACTTTAAGGAACCACCATTTGATCCAGTTATCCCACTCCTCAGTATATATCTAAAATCATTTTTTAAAAGTACTTTCCAATTTACTGTGTAGTCTTAATATAGAGACATCTGTGCTCCTGTAATTGTTGTTTAAATTAGGTTTAGATTTTTAAGCAGCATTTTAAACGGTTAGTGTTTGCTTAAGGTTCTGATGTGTTGTGGTCCTCACAGCATTCCTTCCAATGTGCTCTTTTCCGCATTTTTCCCACTAGGTGGCAGAATTAGGCTTTGTGTGAAGGGACCAAGCACCTTCTGGGTCCTTTTGTTCACCTTCCTTTTAGTTCTCTTTCCCCATCACAGCATCTCATCACACAGTTCCCTGGTTCCTGCAGTCAGCTTCCTGGCAGGAATGATTCCTGGAGCCAGGGTGACACAGGAGCCCAGCATGCAAGTCAATAGGCTGCAGCTCATGGCCCACGTCAGATGAAAGTCTGAAGACAACAGTCAGCGAACAACTGAGCTCAGTCTGAAAATGCTCTTCCATTATTGAAACCAATGACAATGTCAAGCTGAAAAGTGGCTGAAGATATACTCTGACCTGTTTTACCTTGATTAAAGGAGGGAATATATTTTGTTTTTGTTAGATTATAATGAGATGTTCACCTAGGTACTAAAGGTATAATAAACTGGCTCAAAGCCTTCCCCCATAATGTGGGCTCCCATCCATGGGTGTACATGGAACTATTTATCTCTGCCTCAGAACCTGAAATTTCAAACTCTGCACATTGCAACTAACAAGATAATTCAGACTACAGTGCTATGATCACAGCTAGAGTGTATGCTACAGACTTTTTTTTCTTAATTCTTAAATTTTTGGTATTGGGGATTGAACCCAGGAGCACTTTCATTACTGAGATACATCCCCAGCCCATTTTATATTTTATTTTGAGACATGGTCTCACTAATTTGCTTAGGGCCTTGCTAAGCTGCTGAGGCTGGCCTTGAACTTGTGATTTTCCTGCCTCAGCTCCCAGAGTTGCTGGGATTATAGGCATGTGTCACCACACCCAGCAGCTACAAATCTTTAAATAATTACATCTGTTTCTGACTTAAGTTTTCTTAGTCACAGTTCAAATATTTAACACATGCAGTCTTTGACAAAATCAACTGCAGCTCAATGGCAATTCTAGTTAATTGTCATATTTAACTAGAGAAATGGGAGGGGTAGTCTACTTGAAATTGGTTTCTAAAGAGACCCAGATTAGATCTGAAAAACTGATTTAACTTGTTTGGTTATCAGTAGACTTTCATGATCTTCAGAACACCAAATAAAAATGCTGCCTTCCAGGGCTGGGGTTGTAGCTCAGTGGTAGAGCACTTGCCTAGAGTGAGTGAGGCACTGAGTTCGATCCTCAGCATCACATAAAAATAATAAATAAATAAATAAAATAAAGTTATTGGAAAAAATGCTGCCTTCTGTTTAGTACAGTGAAGGCTTGCTCTCTTTTTAGAGTCCAGTATTTGTTGATATTCACAAGGTTATTCAATTATCGCAATCTATTTCCAGAGCATTTCTATCACTCCAAAAAGGGATCTTGTACCTGTCAACAGTGAACCCCCAACTCTGC